AGTTACAAATTTTAGAAAATTAGTTGCGAATTTGTAAGTTAAAAGTTTTGTCACAAGATTAATCAAGGACTAAATAGACTTCCTTTGTATTTAAAAAAATTGTTAAGATTTTATTGAGATAGAATGGTCCTTTAAGACCCATAAGACAACCTAAAAGATATTTGGTTGTTTCAAAATACAAGACAATATGATGAGAATATAGTTTTGCTAATGATTTTTTTAATACTACCCTTCATTGGGAGAGATAATTAAAAATGTATAAATTTTAAAATTATATTAAATTAAAAATGTTTTTAAAAATTTATATTATTATTTTAAAAAGTTATTTCATAACTGTCAAAATAAGAAAAAGTTAGTTTATAAAATATTATTATTAAATTTTAGAAAAAATAATAATAAAATTATTTTAAAATATATAAATAGTAATTTAATCTCTTAAAATGTCATAACTCTTTAAATCTTCAAGAACTTTTCTGTTATTAATAAATTTATATAAATTATTAAATTACTTTTGTTGAAAATAAATGATTCGTAACTTTTTTTCTTATATTTATAATAATGCAACAACAATTAAAAAATTTAACATATAAAGTTATGATTTACTATTGTATTGTTTTGAATTTAAGAAAAAAAATTATAAATATAAGAAAAAATTATAAATAATTTATTTTTAATAAAGATAATTTAATAATTTATATAAATTTATTAATGATAAAAAGATTTTAAGAGAATTATAAAATTTAATAAATTAAATTATTATTTATATATTTTATAAAAATTTTATTATTATTTTTTTAAATTTTAATGTTGTACATATTCTCATCTTAAATTATCTTATAATTTAAGTCAGAAAAATATATGATTTATTAAATGCGCAGGCCCACGGGTGCAGCCACGGAAGACAAAGCACATGCATCCATCTAATCATCTCCAAGGTTTCCACTGCATGTGCTTGCACGTGACATTATTGGCCCGCCTCGTTTTCATTCCCCTCTAGAGTTTTCCAGGCTTCTGATCTTTCAATTTAATTTATATAAAGTTTTAAAAAACACTAGAACGATTATTGGATCAAATAAAATACTGATCTACGGTTCATTAATCAAATCATAATCGAACTGTTCGATATTAAATTATTCATATTTTCTTAATTTATGTATTATAATCTAATAAGAAATCTAAATAATTATATTATTTTTTTAAAAAAATAACACATGTTTATTAATATAATCTATTGTTGATAAATATATGATTAATATTATTTCTAAATAGTGCCTTCTATTTATAAATTGAGAAAGATGTCAATTAAATAATAAAGTATTAAACAATCTTTGAAGTATATCAAATAAATAGCTTCAAAATATAAAAAGAAAATCAACAAAAAATACTTAAAAAAAGAGTGCTTTCCCCAAGTCCCACGTAGCTAATGACGAGGAGTGACGGAGAAGTAAGTGGTTGAGAGCAATTTGTGAAAGTTGCATCTCATGGTCTAGAGATTTGGAATTGAAATTTTTTTAAATAAAATTTTAGTCCAGTTTTTCAATGAGAACTGGTTTGCTTTAATCGGTCTTTGATCTGCTCACCCAATATCAATTTTATGGGTTATACTGAACTAACAGCTAATTTCCGATTGAACTTTCTGGTTTAGTTTTTTAAAACTTTGATTTTATAAATGTACATGTATTCTCTAACGTCAATTAAAAATATCATTTTATTTATAATTTTTTAATCGGCATTCATATTAATTAGTTAACTTGCATAATAGTTATAGATACCTATTTTTTCTACTTTTTTTTTAAATATCTGTTCTCCTCAATTCACTGATTAATTTTTGCTCAAAAAAATCGCTAATTAATTCTGAGGCCTTTCAGGGCCTCTTTATTTAAAATTAAAAAGTGAATAATTTTTAAATAGTTTAAAGATTTTATAAAAACCAGACATTGTTTTATATTTGATTACACAAATAAAAAATAATTACTAGTCAGTATTTATTTTTAAATTTCATGATATCTTTTTAATTTAATATTTAATTATTTAAAAAATTTATAATATCTTCACATGTCTCGTATTTTAAAAATATTTTTTCTCATATATCTCATCAAATAATTTTCAAAAGTTATTTAAAGCAATTTTTTCTTTGCTAATTATTTTTAAAAGTTTAACCAAAATTATAAAAGTTCAAAAAATAAACTTTTTTAAAAAAATAAGTAATTTTTTTCATAAAATAAATTGAAACAAACGGATCCTTAACTTGATGACCCATGGCATCAAATCTCCGCTATTAATTATTCTCGCATCGTTAAATTTCTTTTAATTTCCTTCATTTCCGGGACATTACGTTTGGAATATTTTACCGTAAATTATCGTGATTTTTTTCCCCTCCATCTGCATTCTGAATGACACATAAACCTTCTTTTATATTCCTTCTTCTTGAATATAATGATATCTCTTACCACAGTTTATTCGGATGTAAAAGATACACAAGACTTAGTAAAACAAGTGTTTGATTGTTATTGAAAAGTAAAATAATTACAAGTCTAAGCTGAAAATAAAACTAATTAATAAACCTGAGAACTATAGATACAAAATGCGAGTCTTTTGAATGTTGACAGTTATCTTCTTTTGCATTTTCGTACTCTATTTATAGTGATAGAGTGATAGTAGCCTCTCCTTTAGAATCTAAAATGTTCTTATAAAGAATCAAAGATCTCGCGAAACTCATGGCATGGTCTTTACTCACTGTCTTTCATTTTTAGTAACCAGCCCATCTCGCTAAGATACTTAGGTATAATGATGCTGTTCTCATGAGATTTGGAATTGTTTGCGATCGTGTCTTTATGTGCCAATGATTCACAGGGTGGGTTTGCAACTAACGAAATTTCAACATGCTTATTTGGTTGGGGCTTTTCATTGAGCTTGAAACCGGCTCCTTTATTTAGGTTACTACTTGAGTTTGACTCTTTAATCATTTGATCCATGTGGTTTTATGGCTTACTCAAACATTTTGCTAAACAACATTTTATATTTAACTCAAATGCAAATATCTCATTCCATGATTGACTACATGACTCAGACCGGCTCCTATAAAAACAGCCTGCCTGGGGCTGGACCGGCTCATGAGAGTTGTGACACCGACTGAGGTGAGATTTTATTTCGTTCAGAACGAAGCCAGAGAAACACGTATGCTGGCGTGGAGGAGGAGAAAAGAACAGAACAGGGAAGCAAAAATCAAGTGACAAGCGACATAAAATATGGTGACTTCAACAGGGCGGTTCAAAATATCCTCAAAATTGTCTTCAATTTGAACACGCAATATTGGTAATGCTGTGCTTGCCCCACTAAAATAGACATGATGGCCAACATCGCCCAAGGAGTTCAGTTAGTATATTTTATATTACGGAGCTAGGTTTGAACTTTCTTCAACATTTGGTTTCTCTCCATTGTATTTTCTTTCTACTGCAACTCTAAAATGTTCAAACCAAATTTTAATAATATCAATTAATTTACTCTTTTGAAAATCATCAAATCTAAATTCTCAAATTCAATACAGTCTCCACCGGTGGAGAGAAGCCACTTCCCTTTGAGAAGCTGTATGGTAAGTGGTTCCTTGGACTAATAAATAAACACGCTGGTAGAAATCCAATCCTCCAAGAAACACGCTGTCCCCGTTTGCCAGTGTTCTTGTACACCACGGCAGTCATCAGGATCAAGAATTATTTATTCTTCCCAGTAAACCCAAAGTATTTTCATGATAAAAACAAAAATAAAACATGACTCCTTGATATTATGAATTTAAGTGCAAGATAATCAGAAGCCTAAAATGACGTTTTTTTGGGCCTGAAATCAATGATGCTATTAGAACTTAGTTTTAACGATTTTAATATATTAAGAAAATTAAAGTTGCAACAGATAGAAGCTAAACTTTAAAAAGCATTATGATCAAAATCTTTCACTTTATAGTAACAATTTCAAAAGCTGAACTTTCGCAACTTCTATCCCCTTGGGGTTTCGGGCTGTTTTTGCGTGTAGTTGTCCCCATTCATTGTTTTTTTAAAAGAATGTTCTAAGAGTCGCTTATATATTAAAGAAACTAACAGTGAAACAGTTCTACTGTGACATCATTTTTGTTTCCGTTCCATGCATCACATAGCTGCTCGCCTTATTAAATAGGAGAAAATTTGCAGTACTATAAATTCATCATTAAGAGATATTTAATACATGGCAAGCGTAAGGGCTACTGAGATAAGTACAGCTCAACCCGAAATATATTGGAATTTTTTAACTGAAGAAAAAACATACAATAAAGACATCAAAAATTGAAACTAATCGCATCTTTGACCAAAAGGCCTAAATTGGAGTTATCAACATCGTGGGAAGGAAGTTGCAAACCATTTAGAGGGTTATTGCCAAGACACATCGATTTGGAAATGCACACCAAGTATTAAACAAGACTAAAAAATTACTTGGACTCTACTAAAAAAAAAAAAAAGAATTACTTGGACTGTTCTTCTTTTCTCGTCCCTTTCTCCCTTCGGAGTTGGGACTACGGAACGTGCAGTTGGGGACCTGGCAGCTCCAAGCCTCCATGAGAGAAGGGTCAAACCCTGAAGGAAGGTCAACACCGCAGCCCACGCTGATGTTACATGAATTGTTGACCTCATGCATGAATTATCTATTATGTCAACCAGAGCAAATGCAGGAGTCACCCACGAAACTTCGTAATTAACAAGGCCATCTCATTGTGTTTGGCGGATTGCACTGGTGACAAGAATGCCCACTAATTAACAAGTACAAGCCATAAGGAGGTCACATGTTCGATCCCACAGGACTGGTTTAACCCCCTTCCCAATAAAAAATAAATAAATAAGACCGTCTCATTTGTTCTTCCAACCAATGCATCCAAACGCTTCTCATGCCCCCCTTTTCCTCCAAAACTAATCCTAGAAACACATCCGGACAGCACAAAATTTTGCAAACCAAAGTCACACACTGAAAACTAACACTGCGTCAAGGCACCTCAAGATTGGGGGCAATATATTATTGTAAGATGCTCACAAGTTATATAACTCAGCTTAGGTTGGAGAAGTTCGACAGCAACTTAAGGATCAGAGTGCAACGTTTAGCATTCCCAAACGAACTGAACCAGAACCGTCTAATAGGAAAAGCATTATGTGAACATGCCAGTAATGATTGGCCTTCCACTAAAAAAGAAGTGCATTACACTTGTATAATTTTAATAACCTAGTATTAAAGAAATGAAACAATCATTGCACTGTACAGCATTTTTTGGTGCGATACTCCACAGCACGGCACCATTTCAAAGCTAAAGCTCACATTAGTGGACTCTTGAATCTGCACTGCACTTCATAGCCAGAAGGGCACAGATGCCATTTGAGTTGTGGTGCATAATGGCAAACAGAAGTACCTGGCTGATAGGATCTTACTGCATGAAGCACCAATACCTCATGCAACTCATGAATTCTTTATAGTGGGCGAGCTAAAGACATTCCCAGGTGTCTTTCCTTGACTCCCCTTTGCACCAGCAGATGCCTGGCCAGCTGAACCCTTGTGGTGTGCGCCATCTGTTGCTACCATCGACTTCTTTATCTGACAGAGAATATCAAAATAACCAAAGATAACATAATCATATCATTAAGAATTTTAACATCACCAAGAAAATCTTTTCTATTTTTTTTAATGGGAAAATTAATTTGCAAGAACCTATAGTTTACCTCAGTTTTCAAGCAGGTCCCTAGAGTTTAAAAGGTTCTATGCCCATCCTTATATTTTTCAATGGTTACATAGTCCTCAAAATTTCATATTCATGTATCCTAACCCTTGTAATACTAACATGTCTTAAAAGTGTAAGCAAATTTGATGACGTGAAGGGCTAAGTATACGCATGGCAGCCAAGTCATGTGAGTTAGCCACATAAGAAAATAAATAGATAAGTTGGAGAGGGGGGAAAACAACCACATTTCTTCCAAGGCGTTTTGAATGAGAAAACGCAAGGGAAGGGAAGTAACTGGTGCCCTCAGGTGAAGACAAGTTTGGCGATTTTGGTGCTTGGTAGCACAAGTTCAATACTCCATCATGCATCCTTCAATGGTTAATTGATCTGGTTCAATCCTGTATTTGATTGTATCATTGCAAAACTGAAGTGGCATTTTGTTTCAAATATCAGTTCAAGTCTGTACTGATTGTGTTATTTGGCTTAGGGGTGACATAAAACTGAATTGGTACTTTAATTCAAATCTGGAACACAAGTTATAAATTCATTACAAAACAGTTGCAGAATTGAGAGATAAACTTCCAAATTTCTGAAGCTTAACATTTGGGACCTAACTTGAATTAATTAGTCCTTTTAGGACCCCTTTGTCATTCTCCCAAAATATAAGAGGTTCACAAACTTTTGAATAATAAGGACCTACTGGAAAATTGACAAAAACTATAGGGATGTGTTAATTTCCATTTTTTTTAACTTTAGTCCCTAAAGGTTTTATTCAATTTTAATTTAATCCCTTTACTAAGGGATGGCTTGGAGGAAAAAGATCACATGCATTACAAGTAATGATGATGTGCCAGGCCATAGCAGATACTAGCCACACATGAATCCTATCAAGCATCAGGCATCAACGCATTGCAAGGGCACGAGCAAGGCAAGGCCCTAGTTATAATCTTTATACTGAGGGACTAATTTGAAACGTGGGCAAAAGTAAATGGAAAATAAAAATGCAACTTTAAAACAATAATAAAGAAAGAAATATCAAAACAAAAACACAGTCATAAGCTAATTTACAAGCTAGTCACTAAAGCAAACAACTAAACTTAAAGCACACGACAGCTACATGCAATTCTTTTTGTGTGCATTTTGTGAAAAACCTTACGGACACTATACTAGATACCATTTATCTTTCCAAAAAATAAGGAAGAGAAACTTAAACTTACAGCTACAAGACGCTCTTTGTGAATATCACTAGCAAGCTGAAAGCCACCAGAAAGAGAGTCAAGATTATGAAGTTAACAGCATCTAAAAAACCAAAATGAACCAATGAAAACTTACATTACTAAACCTTAAATAGCCAACAATTTTACTTACCTGTCTTCTATAGCTTTTAATCTCATCGCCACCAAATCCAGGAAGTGACATATTCCAATTTTTCTCTACAAAGATCCACATGTACAATTAGCTTCAGGATCTGTGATCAAATGAGAATCAGACAGTAGAAGAATTTTTCTAATTAACTAACCTAAATGTAGAAGAATGTCCTTTGCTTCCAACATGGTAGATTTACGATGCTTGGCAAGTGAGCAGCCAGATTTAGTGATCTGCTCAAGGTGAAGAAAATGGTAAGTATTGATGATAAAATAATATGAATTTCTAAAAGCTCTATGAATTTGGGTTTTTTTTTTTTTTTAAAGAAGGACAAGTAATTGGGAGATTGGTCGCCATTTGAACATATACATTAAGGCAGCAAAAGAATGAAAAATATGCTTTGTCCATATCCACCATGGGAAACTCAAAGGAGCCTCAGCATGAATAGAGCAAAACACTCTCTCTACACGGCAATACTTGTTTTAAAGTTGATGCAAACTGCTCTTGATTCAGTTGCATTAAGAGAAGGGGTACTTGATCATGCTTTGCGCTCAAGGCACCCCATAATTGTTAGGAGTTTCATTGAAGAAAACCTACTAGTTGAAATTATCATCACGTGGAGGAAAAATGGCACCCCTAAGGCCTAAACAACCCAAATAGACAACTAAACAAAACATAATTGACAAAATATACAGCAGGAACAGAGTGATTATTTCAATCTCTTAAATTGGCATTGTAATTTGGGGGGAGGGAAAGATATTTAATAAGTTTTGGCTAAATACAGGAATTTAAACTATCACATAACTAAATCCGAAGACTTACAGACTCTAAGAAATTTTCTGCTATATCCACCAGAACGTCTGCAACTTCAGGATCCAGCTTCTCTGATGGATCAACCTGCCAATAAAGCATCTAATTCATTAAAGGAATATATGAATCAGAAAGCATTTCAAGGAGCAAACCCTGTCACATCATACATTGAACCTCAAAACCCATGAACATAATTGCATTTGAAGATCTCAAGGGATCCCAAATTCATAAAAAATGGTGACTAGTTTAGTTCATGATGTCCAAGTGAATGTAAAGTCACATTTCCTGCAAAATTAATTATTTAATGGATCGTTAATCAAGCAAAGCTAGAAAAAACAATTCTTAATACCTTAATTCTAGTGTTAGCAAATACGTATAGATGCTTACATAAAAAAAATACATTTAAAAAAAACTTATAGATGTTAGTGGGTCAAGGCCCAGCCCATATAGTACGAGTCAGTATGAACAGTATACACTGGGCTGAATTCAAGAGCCATACTTAGACAATATAGATGACATGTACTTAGATAAACACCAACGAGTTATACCTAGAAGTGTTCAATGAAACAAGATTCGGTTCTCTGGTGTTCCCTGGATTGTTGACATCTAGAGAAAAGGCTCAATAATTAAGTTTAAAGATTTAAAATTTACATGGAGAGTTCAAAATTGGTAAAAAACTAAAAATAGAGTTCCAAAAGAGGTGAGTCACAAAATACTACTCCAAATAAATTATATACGAATGTGCTGATTAATTAATGTAATTTTGATTATGGCAAGTCAATGAGGGATAGAAGTGACAAATGCAATGTATTTTTGTGAATTGTGAATTTTCTCCATAATGTTAGATTAAAGAATAGGCGAAAGTTTTAGACTTTCCCGGGTATAAAGTTGAACAATTCTAGAGATTCCACCCATCCCTGATACCTATAGGTAATCTGAAAAACCGCCTTTGAGAATCTAATTAACTCATGAACTTAAAGTTAATACCACCATTTGAGATAGGAATTCAGGTAACCTCAGACTGATAAACGAATTTTCTCCTCTACATCCTGACATCCTGTATTAGAAAAATTGTGCATGGCTAAGCACTCTACATGCTTTTAACTAGTGAGAATCAATAGAATACGCGTTTAAGTAATTTCAGATAGTTCACCAGGACAATCCTTGAGATATAATATAATTCCACACTGAGATTAAAATATTAGCTACTAATCATGAAATAAATTGGCTTCATTATGTATTCCTCCTATTAAATAATGCTGTTTGATGAAGACATTTTAACATTTACCACGATTGTTTTTTTTTCCAAAAAAGGTTGGCCCAGAAGTTATTTAACATGAATTTCATAGTGGAAGAATTAGAAGTCTAAATGCAACTCCAAGCTACCCACCAAAGCTAAGGGATAGGAGAGCGAGATGAATCTACAGGAGACTTTGTTTTGAATTTCAGCAACGAAATTTACAAAGGAACACGATAGATTAGTGTGACTCACCTGAGTGACTAGCTCATGAATGGTCCTTTTGCTGAGAATTCTATTACAAGATTCATCAGCATCTGCGTTAGATGTTCGACCCTGAATCCCTACTTGAACGGCACTAGGTTGTGCTGACACAAGAGAAGTAGCTTTTGGATTGCCAGGTCCTTGCACTTTTGTGTTCTGTTGCTGGTGAGGCATATGAAGCGCCCTTGATGATGGAACTTGCTGCCCCAAATGCTCCTGCAACTGATTTGATGGCAAAGGCTGCTGCTGTGATGCCGTTGGTGTTGAGTGCTGCTGGGGAGGTATATGTGACCTTTGCTGCAGGGATGGTGGGTGTTGCCTATAAGAAGCAGATGGTAGAGGAGGCTTCCCTGGTGATCCAGAAGACAACCACGGCTGATTAATTGACTGCATGCCTTGTGATGAACTTATAGATGGTGATGCAGGAGATCCCACTGATGAAGCTCTCATGAGTCCAGGTCCTTGGAAACTCTAAAGAAATTATAGGAATAGATGAATCACCAACATAATTTTCCTCCTTCAAATGTTTGCAGAGCAGATGATAACAACTCAGCAAATCCATGCATAATTACATATTAAATAGAAAATGAACAGACGAAGTTGCTGTGCCAACACCAGCATAATTTAAGTGCACTCAGAGATAGTAAGCCTTTCACCATTTATTGGTAGACTTGCAAAACCCAAGGTCACACATGAACATTTAAATAAGACTTCACATTTTATTCAGCGTCTTTTACCCAAATTAACGCCTGATTAATATTCACCTTCAGGTATGTATCTCAAAAAATGGAAGAATACAGCTCAATATTAGTTCTCTTTACCAAATTCCAGGAGGGGAACACGCACGTATAATCAACTTTCACCTTCGCAGGCAGTGTAGACAGGGAAAAACAAATTAAACGCATATACTAACTTGTGAACCAGTGGACTGATTACTTTGGGCAGATGGCGCTCTAAGAGATGATTGGACGGGTCGGTGTTGATGCGGAGGCATACCACCTGGTCGCATTTGAGAACTTGAACCGAGAGATCCTAGCATGCCCATTCCTTGCGTGGGCGCTCTCACCTAAACAGCGACATCAAATAAGAAATATTAAAGCAACGAATGTTCCGAGCTCTTCAGATATGGCTACCAGCGGATCAAAAGAAGAAAAGTCCTTTATCATAGTCAATGATAGTTCAACTTTTTTTTTTTTGGTTCTTAAACAAGAAGGAATAAAGATATCACATCTCTTGTCTCGCAATAAAGAAGAACGTATAAATCCCGGATACATACGACCTACCTGAGCAGCGGTAGAATTAGAGGTTGAGTCCGGCATGTTGACTCCAGTTCGTCCCAACCCTCCAAAATGCTGCCCGAAAGAGGAAGAAAACGGAGCCGACGGGTTCTGGTGGTGGGTGGGAACGCCGATTGCCATGCCACCCCTTGGTGCGGAAGGCCCTGAGATTGACGGAGAGCCGGTAGACGAAAAGGAAGACCCGGAACCCACTGGAGCAGGAGAAGCAGGAGGGAGTGAAGAGAGAGGCGAAGAGAAGTGCGGATAATGCGGCTGCGGCTGCTGTTGTGGTTGCTGCGGCAAATTTCTGTTGAGTGCGGAGGGAGGGCGAGGTTGAGGGGGGACCGATGAAGAGGGAAGAGGAGAGGTGGAGGGGGCTTTGGAGGTTGCTGGATTGGGAATGGCATTAGGGTTTGGGGAAGAATGGAGGGGAGCAGAGAGGGAAGGGGCTGATGAGGACGAGGGAGGGAAGGAAGTAGAGGGAGGTTGAGATGGGTGGGACTGGGAGGGCTCAGAAGGCTGGGAAGAAGCGGAGGCACTGGCGGCGGGAGCTTGCGGTTCCATACGGCTTCCGTTCTGATATGGAAATTGTGCGCTGTTCCTGTTCAATTTCCAAATGCATACTCCCTCCCGTCCAGCTGCAAGTGACGGTCCAAGTCTTCCAAGACAAAGGAGAGGTGAAAAACTAGCATCATCGTTTTTTTCGACAAATATATATTGTTAATTATTAACTGCATGATATAAATGGATTAAATAAAAAATAAAAATAATTAAAATAAATTGATTTTTATAGATTTGTAATATTATAAATTGGAAGATAGTGATATTTTTTTACCGTATTAAAGACAATGATACAAATCACTCTTATCTATTTATTTAATTATTGTGATTTTGAAGTTTTTGAAAGTGCTCTGTATTTTGATATCGATACTTGTATACATATAATCTATAGGAATGACATTAAACAACTAAATAAATAAATTAACATTAAATAAAAACTGTAACATTTGAAAATTTAAAATAAGAATTTAACGTTCTTTAGTAAATTGATATAATTAAAAAATTGTTACCCTGAATTTATAATTTGTAATCCTAAAAAAATTATCAATGGGTTCGTTCATTTATGAAAAAAGGTAGGATGGACATTTTTCTTCTAGTTATTATTTTTAGAAAAATGCAAGCATCCCTGTGAAATGAGATGTGGGGTAGCATTTGAATTTTAAATTTAAATTTAAATTTAAAATTTAAAATTTTATATTTAAAATTATTTGTTTGTATAATATAAAAAAAATTTAAAGATAGATGAGAGACAATCAAAGATTCAAAACAAAAATAGAGTTTTGAAAGTGACAAGCATATCTTTCTATTTTTATTCTTTAATTAGTGAGAGACAATAATAAAAAAGACAACCAGAATAAAAAAGTTATTGACAGTGAAAATGTAAAGAGAGAGAGATAACTAGAGTAAGTGAGATTTTAAATAGTTATAATTTTGAGGGGATGTGAGATTATGAAGAAATTATAATAAAATATAAATCTTTAAAAACTTTCATATGCATGAATTGCGCATTTGGTTCAAATTCAAATAAAAATGTTCATGTATATCAACCCACCTTTTGTTTGTTTTTGATACTGTAAACGCATCGACCCCAAAATTTAGAATCCCGTCACTTACAGGAAGTACGAGGCTGATCAATACTGGCATCTTCATTTTCGGTAGTCAAGAGACCTCGAAGATGTCCCGATATTGGTCAAAGTGATCACATGTTCGCGTCAGTGTTGAGTTCTGGAAGAGGTTACAACTTACAAGATCTTGACACCTGCGCGTGGCCCACAAATTCAAGCCGTTGAAGAATCATGGCCCACACACATAAAACGAGGCAAGGATATTTTTTTTTAACATGGCTTCTGGCTTGATCATCAAATTCAATTGAAGATAGTTCGTCCATAATTCTCACAATGAACCTATTTGCTAACATGTAATGAGTGTATGGAGACCATTCTTCGCATGTCAGTAGGGAATTCTTAGCACTAGATTGAATGTGAAAGAGATAATAGAGGCGAGTGTAGACACATTAGCTGGCAATGATATTTTTCTACACCATGGAACGCTCGGATCGAATTGCCTTGTTCTTGAAGGTGCATGCAAGAGGAGATGCGAGAGCAATTACCAGTGGAGACTATCAACAACTCCTTGCATGTGGAATACTCACAATGAGAGTGTACCCCACCACATGCATCACAGTCCAGCCCCTCGATCCAAATATCATGGACTCACTGTCTCCAATTACACCATTTATTATTTTATTTTCATTCCTCCAACAAACCATATGACAATTTAAATGCATCATCGCCATGTATAATGTAATCGTAGATTTCATAAATTATAAATAACATTCTATTTTGATATTCTAGTTGCTCGTCAAAGCAGAGATGCATGTATGTTTAAACACGTCACTCGTTGTTTCTTCGCACTTTTAGATGCGCATTGTTTCAATTACATACACCTCTAGGGTTTTTTTTTTTTTTTTTGGGGGGGGGGGGGAACTTGTGCGCACGCCTCATGCCTCAATCAACTTGCGCCAACGTGGTCGACATTTTTGGTCAACTTTGGCGACCCAATAAAAATAGAAGATGAAAGATTTCGTTGCCCCGTCATTTCTAGCGACTAGTTCGATGCAGAACAAGCAATGAGACATTGTGACTCTTTGCTCGACAAGTCGGCTTCCTTCTCAGATATTTTTGTTTTTCGATTTTCTCGTTTTCCTTGGCTACTTAATTTCGTACATGCTAAACAGATTAGTGAAAATATATTCTGGTCATTTCAAAAGCATATTAAACAGATATTTTTATTCCATAATTCCTTTATGTCTCTATTGCTCTTTATTTTCTATATCCACACCTGCTGTTTCTTCCGGTTGTTGAAAATGTGTATCTTTCACCGTGTTTAATTTCCCGTACGTTCACGGTTCATCCCCCATAGCATTATATTTTATTTAAAAAATGTTAATGGTGCATGAATTTCCCGTGTCCTTTTATCGCATGGGATGACAGGCATTTTAAAATTAAAAGTTAAACAAATAAATGCGCACTTCGCAATCGCGGCCAGGCTGTCCTCCCCATCTCTTACTACCAATTTTCAATCGTTAATTGATCCACATATTTTATCCTCATTAGTTATTATTATTTATCCTTAATACTTACTACCTGCTGAAAATGATTATTGTTGATTTTTTCCCCGATTTCGCGTTTCTTCCTTTTTCTCTCTCATCTGGCGTCTGACCCTTCATAATCTTCCTCGTTAAGATTCAATATCTTCTCATTTCTTGGGGTTCTTATCTCCTCCCGCTCCTCCCTCCTCCTCTTGCATCTCACCCCTCAACTACACTCTCTGCTCTGCCATCTTCCTATTCCTCCGTATCAATCAGGTACTATTTTCTTTCCTTTCTTCTCCAATTTTGTTTCTTTATCTGTTCCTCCTCCTTGTTTAATTAAGCATCTCTCGCCTATTTTAGACTCTTTTTGTTTGGTTTCCGCTGAATCGTCGATAGACCGCGAAACGTAAACCGTTTTCAATCTGTTTTCTTTCACCCTTTCTGCACAGAGATTGGTAACAACCTTCAATTGCTGTGAAAAGATTTTGTTTTCCAATTATTCCTTAATTTTCTACGAATCCAAACAGATTTTTTCAGTTTCCATCCTCACGTTTCCTTTTCCCCTAAAAATTTCGGCAGGTCAAAGCTTGGTGGATTCTGAATCGCAGAATTTCAAGCAAAACTCTTGTTTCTTTCTGATTGTAAGAAGATAAGCCCGCAATCTCATATCCGGACACGCGCGTGAAACAGTATGGCGGAAGAGCACCGATGCCAAACACCCGAAGGCCACCGGCTTTGCGCTAACAACTGTGGCTTTTTCGGAAGTCCGGCCACCATGAATCTCTGTTCCAAATGCTACAGAGATTTCTGTCTCAAGGAACAGCAGCAAGCCTCTACGAAAGCAACCATCGAAACCGCTCTCTCATCGTCATCCGCCCCTGCGCCTTCGCTGGCCACGGAGGCCCTCCCTCCTGCGCAGGCATCGAAAGCGCCGGATGTTGCGGTGGACGCGTTGATCTCGGCGCCGGCAGCCGCCGTAGAAGTTGGCACGGTGGCACAACCAAACCGATGCGCGACGTGTCGCAAAAGGGTCGGGTTGACCGGGTTCAAGTGCAAGTGCGGGATCACGTTTTGTGGCGTCCACAGGTATGCGGAGAAGCACGGGTGTAGCTTCGATTTCAAGGTGGTGGGCCGAGAGGAAATAAGTCGAGCGAATCCTGTCGTCATCGCTGAGAAGCTGCACAAGATTTAATCTGAGCCGTTAGTTGCCGAGTTGGACCGCATGGTTCAAAGAAGAGATTTGAGAGAGGCCGTCCATCGTTTTAATCTGATACCCATTGTGCGACGCTTGATCACATGTACTAAAAATTTAGGAAATTTAAGATGAAATTGGCTTTTATCTTATCGTCTTGAATGAAAGATTGAATTGAGTAAGTCATGTAATTTGGCTTTCCTATTTGTAAAAAGCTAAATAGAATCATCCTTTTGTGAAAGCTTTCCGAGAGCTACTTACCATTACAGGCCCACCCACTTTAAAGGAATCTTATTTGTGGTTGAATTGAGAGGCATGTGGGCCTTAATCATTCGGGAGAAGCGTATCTGTTGATTTTACATTATAAATAAACGTGAAATGAAAGCCAGCGTCATGTTTGCTTGAAACCGTGCTCTTTTTAATTCCCCAAAATTGTTTTTTTATAGGAAAAAAAGCAAATAATCTTTTCAGATTTTTTAAGATTATAATATAATAGGAGTATTTTATTAGGATGGGTAGACAATATAAGTATATAATTATTACTTTTAAAATCATTTTTTGTCGAACATTCTTGAAATTAATTTGAGAAGTGTTGAATATGTCAATTTTGAGCATATTTAATTCTGAATAATTCATTGTTATATCCAATAACCATACAATTTGTAAAATTTAAACATCAATGATAGCCAGAAAAAAAAAAAGAACAGTGATTACATATCGATCATTTTTATACTAATAAAATGGATTCATTTCCCACTCGTGAAAATTACTAAAAATAAGTAGGTCCATCAACGGAGAATTTAGAATTATGACCTGCAGTCTATGAGCTGCCGATTTCTTGCTCTATGCGCTCCACCTCGAATGAAACAATGAACAAGAAAGGATCGGAATCCGAACTAAATAAAATTCTGAATACGGGAAAATACGTTAACGCTGGAAGGGAGATGAATGTGATTAATACCATTTGCACTCTGTTTTAAATGCATGCTACCTTTATTTAAAATTATAAATTATCTTTAACTAACTTTTTATTTCAAGAAATCAATTAAATCATTAGAAATCATGCACTCTTTTTATGTTCATCTTTATCTAATGGCATAACGTAGCTACAAATAAATATGAAAATTGCATTAATTTTGAATTGCTAAAATATTAAAGGGGAAAGAACATTAACCAAATGTTTGGGTTAAATATGAAACGTCGCTTGAATAGGTCACATGGCTGGTTGGGCTGAGTAATTGAATCGTCAGGCCCAGTATAAATAAAAAGGGTCGACTCTAAGGCTCAATAAAGGCCACAATAAGTAAACATGTCAAAATCTATTCAATTACAAATATTGGACCGTTAGCATGAAAACATAATCTTAAGTAATGTCGAAATCTACGCCTAAGTATCTCGATGAAACGGGCTGATTACCAAAATGAAAAGTATAGAATAAAGACTATGCCATGAGTTTCATGAGATCCCTAATTCTTCGACAAAATGTGCTAAGTTTCAAGGAAGAAGCTACTGCTACTTTGACACTATAAATAGAAGAAGAAAATGCAAAAAAAATTAGTCAACACTCAACCAAAAACTCACAATTTTACATTTGTTAGCTATTTTTAGTTTTTAATTTTAGGTCTATAATCTTTTCAAATTTCAATAATAATCGAACACTTGTTCTATCAAAGCCTTGTATGTTTTTACATCCGAGTAAACTGTGATAAGGGAGCTCGGGATCCTTTTGTTATGAATTGAAACTCAGCGTCTCTGACACGCCTGGTATTTGTTGTTCAACATAAAATACAAAACCTGCATTAATCAATTCAACAGATGACAAGGTACTGCGTAGCAAACAAGTAGTGGGGTTCAAATATTGCTCATCACCAGCTAAAAAATGGCATGCTATCCTTGATTTTTTTTATTCCAAACCTTGCATGTCATACTTGGATAACAACAAGGCCTAAGTGATGGCTTATGATGCTTACATTCTTTGCATGTCTTTCATGCCCGCCCCAAACTCAACACAAATAGCTTCATTCCCTCCCCCACAATCACCACAAGGCCCTCTATTGTGCTCCACCTGGAGCGAGAAATAAATGGAGCTGGCACACATGTCCATTCTCTAAAACTTATTATGGTAGATTCGGATCCTTAAGGAGAGATTTGTGTAAATGTTTTAATCTTGTGGAATTGTTTGCCAGCATTTGAAACTATCCTGACCCCATCAACCCAAACGATATGCATTGAATGTTCACGTCACACTACACACAAATTCATTGAATTTTTGTGCTTGGGTGAAACCAAGAATCAGCTATAGAACTTTTCACCCTCAATGCACAGTACTAAATAGTAGGGGTGTTCATAGGTTCGGTTTGAGTTGGTTTTGGGCAAAAACCAAACCGAACCAAACCATTCAGTTTACTGATAATTGAAACCTGATTAGTTTTTATGAAATTCGGTTTGGTTCGATTTTATTTTTGGTTTAGTTTGGTTTGGTTAAGGTCTTGATCAAGTTTTAATGCACTTGTTTAATTTTTTTTTTCCTTTTGTCCATCTTCATAATGTTGCTATATACTAAAATTAAATTTAATTTTTTTTGACTCCTTTTTTTCATAAATAGAGGTATAAAAATAAAATAAAATTTCAATGTGATAACAATAATTAATCATAAAAATTGATATAAGTTTTTAAGATTAAAATTATTTAATATTATGTATTTTCATTAAAATCCTTTGAAAATGTTTATCTATATATCTATATTTTAATAAATAATGAAAAATTTATTATACAAAATTCAAAACAAAATGTTTCTTGTAGATAAATTGAATGCTGAGGCTTTTAGGTTGTAAATAATTAAATGATGATCATAGCATGATTATTATAATTACTTAATATTATGCATTTTCATTCAAGTATTTTAAAAATGTTTATTTATTACTATAAAAAATTTAAAACAAAATGCTTCTTGTAGATAAATGGTTATATATTTTACAAATAAATAAATAGAATTTTTTTAATCAAGTTTGGTTCGGTTTTTAGTACTCAAAACTAAACTTAAACCGAACCAATCGGTTTTTTTATCATAAGAACCGAAGCAGACTTGATTGTTGTTCAGTTTTGATCGGTTTTTGTCGGTTTGGATTGGTTTGGATCGGTCCTTTCGGTTTGGATCGGTTTTGAACACCCTTACTAAGTAGTCTATTTGACATAACCATGTGCAGGCTTTCTCAACGAAAGGATTAACTGGAACAACTCTTTGAAACTGTTTGGATTAGGCTTCCAATATGGAAATGCCACGCTAAGGAACGCTTCCCCTTGTGTGATTGGGGGAAACATTGGACAGTAGAAGATTCACCCTAACTATGGGCAAACTAATCTTGTGTGCCCTGAACAAATATACGAGGCACTCTTTCAATAAACGATATATCTTTCTTAGCCAAATTAACATGAGTTCCTTTTAAATTGCATCAGCATGTTACTAAATAGTGTTCATGATGCTATTTTTGCTTCCCATGCAGTGATGGTTTCAAGACACCATGCGAAGCTACAAGAAAAATTTCCTAACACGAGAGTGATAAGAATTGTAATTCTAATTTTTTCTTTGAACTCAGCTCTCATGCCTGATGCCATGTCGATTAAGATGGGAATAAGGTAAAAATGTTTGAAAACTTTTTTCAAACAAGTACTTAACACCTATACCTTTTAAAAGAAGCAATGTGCTCCTAAAAATCTAAAAAGTATATCAATGTTACCCTTTGCCAACATTTGACTAAAATTGAATGTGATGGCACAACACCTGGCTTTGCCAGGTGGCAAACAAGCTTTGTTTTTGGTCTTCTTCGTCCAAATTATATTTCCAAGGGATGACAACTTCTAGGTGAGAGAGGCCGTGAGCTAGATGATAGCCAAAGGAAGTGAACTCGTCAATAGCAATAGCCCAAGAAGAGAAGATAGAGCGGTAGGCGAGGGTAACCATGGCTGTGTGGTTTAGGAATTGAGGGAGTGACTACAATATGATGTAAGCTTCACCTTACATATTCGACCATCCTCTTTAGACCTGAATCAGAGCTAGATCTTTAAAGATGATCTCTCTAAGCTCACCAAATCAATATCACTAGAGTTGCCACTACCTCAAACTCATATCTCATCTCCCAACCCAAACAAATTGAATGACCAATTAAGTGACCATTCCTTTCAATTTTTGTTCTCTATCTCCCTCGAATTGTTCTCCATTTTTTTGGCATCAATAGCAAATAGAATATAGGAATATATCTATTGAGGTTTTTCTCCCAAAATATTTTGACTTCCATAAATACACACGATTTTCGGGACATCAATTCTCTCTCTCTCTCATTACGCCAATCTCTTTGTGTTTCGATTTGAGGTTTGGTGTATGTGTGCTTGAGTTCAATTCCTTTTAGGGTGATTAGCAAAGAAAACAATGCTCCCTGTGATTCTTATTATAGAACATCTTTTAAATTTTTTTATCTTTAATATAAGACAATTGATATTGTATGAATAATGTTTTTTCAACTGTGCTCGTATTTAAATTGACTAACCATGAGAGATAATGATATTGTAATGTAAATTTTAAAAATATTATTTAAATAAGAGTAAAACTAAAAGTCTATTATACTTTGAGATAAAATTAATGATTTAACTATTTCTCATTAGTTTCAATGGGTAGCTAATCATGCCTTACAATATAAGGATTAGAGAAAGTATATATTCTTTTCTTGAAGGGTGTTGAACCAGCTTCAAACTATGGAGTAAAATAACGAGGGAGTAACATTCAATACAATATGATGCCATTTATATAAATTTTAGGGTCACTGATTTACTAGGTGATCAACACTAACGACCTTGACTAATTCAACATAAACACTCATCAATGCCAATATTAAAACATATTAATTACTTATAGAAAATATCAAAATGTTTAATAAACATGAAAAATTGAAAAATGTCATAATTTTATAAAAATTTTTTACTTATAACCTAATCCTTTTCTATTAAAAAAAAAACATAGACACACGTATTCGTACATACATACTGTTGATGTCAGGTTCAAACCAAAATTTCTTTTGGGAAAGGTAGCGTTGCGGCTAGAATAACCAATCGTTGTGAATGTCTTTTAACTTTATAACCATGAAGGTTGTCATTGCACCGACCATGCTTAACACATGGATACACACGTGTGAGAAACATGCGAATTTTCGTTTCCAACTGAGGAGTGACCTGGAATTATCGCCAAAGCCGAACTAAAAGGGAAAAGGAACAACTGCAACCCTCCT